TTCAGAGCTCTTTGTGTTGTGTTTCACCTCTTGTTTATGTACACAAGGATGACAGCAACCCCTGGAAACTGACAAGCAGCCAGTCAACTGGCAAGTATCCTTTAAGTACCTAAGGTGCATTGCACTCTCAGGGGTCTAGGCTGGTAGCCATTTCCACTTTCCTGAGAACTCTACTGACATGACTGATCTCAGGGAGGTTTTCCATTTTGAATGCAAATGTTTATGGGATAAAAGCTTGTTCCCATGTTCTGAGGGTAAGCTGGGTTGGAGGCCAGCATTGCATTCTTGTCACACATTTTCTCTTTGAAGCCAGTTAAAGACTGGAAAAAATGCTTGAAGAAACACATGGAAATGTATGAGGTCACAAGGAATCAAGACTACATTTTCTGAGAATAGTATTAAAATCATAATTGGAATATGATTTTAGCACAACATCATTAATATGGTTTCCTGGCTTTGGGGGCCTCATTAGGGGAAGTGCATGAGTTGGGTTGCTGTGTTTAGCTTACATGTGCTGTATGTTTTAAAACTGTTTTGGCAATGGCGTGGGGCAGAAAGAGCTGACCATGATTCTGCCTCCTCAGGTACTTTTACATGAGGACTTTTCTGGTTCTGAGAATACCATATATCTTATCAGTGAGTGACATCTGTGTACACACGTATGTGTGGACATGGCTGTGAGAATGCCTGCATGTATGCATGTATGCATCACAGTTTCTTGAAAAGTATCTGAGAAGAAGTCTGACAAAAACCTGGTGGAGATATCCCTACATTGACTTGATTCAGTTGCATTCAACATCCTCCACATGTTTCTTTAATACTAAAATTGCCAGCAGATATTCATCTGACCTGTAGTTGTATTTCATATTTGCCCTTTCAGTCGGGTGCTAATATTGAAGAGTTTTTTTTTCAATATCTGCCTATCTGTTGCCTTTGTTCAATCTCCAGTGACACAGGTCAAGCCTTTAATTTCTTATCTAAACAAGTTTAATAACATTTCCTCTAATTTTCTTACCACCTGCATGCCTTCTTTCTACCTTGTTCTACTGAGTAGCAGGTGATTATCCTAAACCCTAGGTCATGTTGGATCACTTGCAGCTTAAAGTCTCAAAGTGGTTCCTCCCAGTTTTATCATACATCGAATAACTAAATAATAGCATTATTCGTGTGATGGACACCATGCTTCTAGGGAGGCACTTTTATCTGGCTTTTCTTAGACTTCTTACCATTTGCTCATCTTAAATTTTAGGACTGTTTCAAATTCTCTGTAATGAAGATTTAATTGTAATACTAAGGATTCCAAGAGACAAACAGTGTTCTAGTGTCTTTCTTAGATTCACAGCAATGCACTATCAAACAGTATGAAGACACCACCAATGTAACTGACTAAAACGTAAGTCATTAATCATATATATCCTAAATATGAATGCATCTACTGTATTAAATTTCTAAGAGAAACAGTTCAGCCAGTTTTTGAATAGATGTTCAAATCAAAACAAAGATCACCAGGTCTGACAGAGGCTGTGCAAAGTATTTTCAAGCCTACCAAACATTTACTGCATTTTTCACATAAACTTCTTGTTTTTGCCAATCTGTAAATTTAAAATAACACCACTTTGTAGTTTTAATTATCACATCTCATTATCAGAGAGAGGTTATTTGAAGGAAGAATCTGGTCAGTGGTATCCCAGAGCAATTGGGAGATTGTTATTCTCCAAATTACAAGGAAGAAAGTGGGTCAAGGAATGTTCAAGCTTAATTATTCAAGATCACTTCATGAGTGGCTTACTTAATGAAAGTTTGTGGTCTGTGTATTGTATTCCAGGTCACACATGTGCTTCAGTGACCACTGTGTACATGTTCCCTCAAGGCTCTGGATTGCCTCCAATTAGCAGTCGGCACTTGTTTTCCTGTCTCTCTGGAATGGTCCTTCTCTATCCCTGAACAGCTAGTTTCTCTTTATATGTTTCAAATACCTATCCAAATATCGTTGTCTCCAAGAAGTGTGTGTGTGTGTGTGTGTGTGTGTGTGTGTGTGTGTGTGTGTGTGTAGGTAGGTAGGTAGGTAGGTAGGTAGGTAGGTAGGTAAGTATACCATCACAAAACCTTAACCAAGGCAGGGCAGATTGCTATATGTATCAAGTCTTGTGGTTCTAAAATGTTTCAGGGCATATTGGGAAGAATGTCCAGATATTCATGTTAAATGCAAAAAAATAAGTTCAAGTTTTTTTCTCTGCCTTTCACCATGTTTTCAACTCACACTCACGTCATTTACACATTTGAGGCTCAACATCTTTATCAGAGAAATAAAACTTTGAAGTTGGGTGAGGCAAATGTCCTTTGCAGTTCTAGGCCAATGTCTTTATATGTTCTATGTATTAAATCTAAAATTCTAAAATATCTATCACTTTCTCACACACACACATTCTCTCTGCTCCTTACCCCTTCCTCTCTCTTTCTCTCCACGAACTCTCCAGATTCCCGCTCTGTAGCTCAGGTTAGCCCAGAACTCAGTATATAGTCCAGGGTGATGTACAATTCTTAGTGATCTTGCCTCAGCTTATAGATATGAGCTGTAAGGCCAGACTTAAGATGTTCTCTCTTTAGAACACTGGTCAAATTTTCATGCTTTTTCCAGTAATTTGGTACTAGAGCCCTACATTTTAAAATGCAACCACTAGTTCTCAGTACTTTGTGTATTAAGAAGAATTCACTTATCCTCATTTTCAAATCCTGAAACCAGGTAGCGGCACCACTGAACCCCATGGTTTTTCACTCAGTGCTTGTCCTTCAGGGTTCGTTGCTCCTTCAACCTTCTTTATTTCTGATTCATCTCAATGTGGAAACTGATTTATTTTTTACTTCATTTTTTATTTTTGAATACTTTATAAAAATGCATAGTCTATGAAATCAATTCTGATTAGTTAAAGAGCAATAGTGCTTCCTTTTTATTTTACACATAAGCCACAAGTCATGTCAGAATAGACAATATAAAAGTATATGCGTATATCTTTAGACATTTAAATTTTATTGAAAGCAATGTATTTATTATATGGACCTTAGTAATGAAGACTACAAGCCTCTATAGGGAGATGTTTGTTACTATTTTATTTTAAGTTTCTGGGATGATTCATGTGCATAGTGTATATGCATGCTCACATGTGTGTGGACACACACATCCGTGCTGGTGCACTCACACAAGTATGCACACATGCATAAAAGCCAGAGGTTGGTGCTGGGTTCTTTGTCAGTGATTCCTCACCTTATACATTGTGGCAGGTTTTCTTGATGTACTTGGAAATCACTTATTCACCTTCCCTAACTAAGCAGTTTGCTCCAGGGCTCTACTGTGTCTATATCTCAAATATTAAGATTACAGGAAGACCACCACCAAGTACATATGTGTAGGAGATCCCAACCCAACTTGGGTTCTCATATTTTGTAGCAGCATTTTATTCACTGGTCCATCTCACTTGTCTTTATAGCTACTTAGCTACTTTAAATATTTCATTAAGCATACAGGAAATGACACACACACAATATATATATATATTAATATTTGAGCTACTGTGGCTTGAAGCATATTGGTCCCAAGTCAGACATGATTTGAAAATAAAATACAACTTAAAATATACTCTCAGATACTGGCATCTTAGTACCTTTTGTGGCATTGTTTTTCCTATAAAATAAGAACCTGATGCTAGAGAGATAGTTCAGTAGTTAAGAGCAGTGACTTCTCTTCCAGATGCTCTTCTAGAGGACTCCTGTTTGATTCCCAACATTCACATGATGGCTCATAACTGTGTATAAATTCAAGTTCCAAGAGACCCAATGTCTTCTTCTGGCCTCAGTGGGCACCAAGAAAGAACATGGTTCAGACATACATACAGCCCAAACAAGCATATACAAAAAATTAAATTTAAAAAATAATTTTAAAACAAAAACATGGGGAGGGAGAGGGAACTGAGAGTAACATGTGTAACAAGTTAAATAAAAATTATTATATATAAAAAACCAATAACACTTAACAATTTTGTGACTATTAGCATGCTTATTATCACTATGTTATATAGTAATAATACCCAAAACCATAAAGACAGTTTTTCAAATAGAAGGAAACATCATTATATTCTTCCAATTACTCATACATAACAGTTGTTCGTGTTGAAAGTTTCCGAAATTGAGAGAGAGAGATCATTTCCTATGCTTAAAAACCCTGGCCCTTGTTCTGAACCTGACATGGGTAGCCACTCTATCTGATGGGATACATACATCTTAACAAGCCCCCAAGGCCCAAAAGGCAGCCTAGTTTCCTCTCCAGGGGCCCAAGGGTCTTTCTGGGCTTCGTTTCATCCCTATCTTCACATAATGAACTGATTTTTCCCTTTATCTGGGATACCATGAAGGCCTTACTAGCTCTGAGAAACCATGGCGAATGGCTTTCTGGCTATTATTTTTTCCATTAAGGATAGTACTTCTATCTCCTGTATGGACAAATTACTCTCTATGAGAGTCAGCATTCTGCCAGTCTATAAGGTTCAGTTTCTATGTCTAAGGGAACAACAGCTGTGTCCCAGGCACTGGATTCCCCAGTGTGTCACTACCAGTTAAGAAACAGTAATCCCTCCTATGTTTATTCTGCTCACCGGCAAGGTGACTTTCTGGCCTGGCAGATTCCAGGGCCATGTCAAATGTCAAAAGCACAAACGGCAAAGCTTGCTAGTGCACTGAGAAGAAGCTCTTACAGTGAAAATCACCCTCTTTAATCATGTCCAAAAGTCTATTTTCATCTTAACAGTTTCAGCCCAACACAAAATGACCTAGATGCTGAAACAAATGCTGAAAGCCTTGTATACTTAGCCATGCCCTTCTTTTAATCCCCTTGACACTGGATCATCAATACATAGAATGAGCCCTAAGGTCCTTTATCTCAGCATTCTTAATACAGAATGGAGTCACAGTCGGCAGGGCATCAGTAACCGTGCCTCCCACTCACTACCATTCCTCACTCTCCTCATATGAGGGAGCCCCCTGATTTTATTGCTTCATTTGTCTACAAGACACAAGTTTCTTCATGAGTAAAGCAGAATTCCACATGGATTCTGTAAGTTAAAGTATTAATACTAACAAATTCTTAATGTTACTATGCTGGTAAATAGTTCTTATTGTGAATATGATCTGAAATGAGAGGAGGAAGGAGGAAAACAGGAAAGAGAGAGAGGAAGGCGAAGGAGAAAGAGAGAGACACTGATTATTTATTCACAAATATATACACCTGCACACATCTGAGTCAAAATTTCTAGTTTTCTAGACCTTTTGAAAGTCTAGAAGGTGTCGACACCAAAGTTTTACTGGGAAAAGACGTTGTCACTTGCTTTAAATGTGTTAACAGAGTGACAAGAAATTAAGAGAGAAGGAAACATGATTAATTAAATTTTTAGTTATTATGGGTGTAGAAGACCTGAATTCAGGGACATGGGTGATGATTACTATTACTGAGTTTTGCTTCCTTTTCCCTGCGGTCCTGGTATTCTCCAACCCTTTGATCTGTTTTGAAAGACCTTAATGTGGAGACAGTCCATCAGCTGCAGCTCTTTGCCTTCTGCCCCCTGTATTATGCTTGCCATGCTCTATGCTGCCAGAGTATTGCTGAGGACAAAACCCAGGGGAATGTGTTGTGGGTTAGATACAGAAGCAGGCTGACTTCTCTGGCCAATTGTAGTTACTCATGTTGGACAATACTTACATCCCTCTGTGTTTCTTATGCACAAAACCAGTCTGTAACATACTAGAAGTTCATCTCCTGCATTTACTATCCTACCAATCACTCTGAGTGGACTCTGGATGCTAAATTCTTAAGAAATTAAGATTAATGTTCTTGTGTAGGCAATGAGGTGTTAAAGATATGTATTTTTTCATTATTGGAGAAAAAAGTCCCGTGTTCTACTTTACTGGTATTTGATTAAAACTTTAAGATGTGAGACCTACAGAAAGACATATATGAAATAACCATTCTCATCCTAATAGAAAACCCTACCCTTTAGTGCTTACATTGCATCAAGTCAACATTTAAACCAACTTAGCAAATACTGTTGTGCCTGGAGTGAACACACTTTTCAATTCCTTGCAAACCTCTGGTCACATCATATTTTGTCAGTCAATTGATGCAAAAGCTTCTTTTCTGTGTGTATCTGTCTCAAGGCCCTTTTCTGCATCTGTGTTCTTGATCCTTTGACATTGAGCTTTTTCTACCACCCAGATCCAAATGAAACTTTTCTAACAAATGTGGTTTTGTTTTGTTTGAATTCTGGAAATCTTTTTTTCTTAGGAACACAAGAGGTATTCGCTAACATACTTGAGGGCCACACTCCATAGTGAAAGTGCTAAGAAGACAGCAGAAGGTTGAAAAGCATCGACTAAATAGACTAAGTGAGAAACAGACACTAAATAGACAAAAAGGAGACTGCTTAAAAAAAGAAAACTGAATGTAGGGACAATATAGTAGTCTATGGATGAGCATTAGAGACACCCAAAGAAGTTAAGTGATTGTGGGCATTACCAATACATTTCAGCAGATGGGGGCATTTAAAAACAAGGATAGTTTTAATTTATAGTTTAGGGTCGAGGACCAGAAAATGTGATTCTAAGATAGGAAGCAATCCCTATGCTATAGGTCTCTATGTTTTGATGAATCTGTTCTTCTCCCAGAAAAACACAAGAGACAGAGACATCTTCAGGGAGCCCTGGGTTAATGAAGTCCAACGGACTGCAAATAATATGATAGCTGAAGTACCTAGCCTTCAGGTTGCTTTTGATCAGAGCATGTGCTTCTCACCATCAGCTTAGTTTTGCGAACATCTTTTTTTGAACTTTCCTAATATTTACATGTTCTCAAATTCTCACCATCTTAAGCTCTGAATTTCCTTCCCCCTGAACAGCCAGTTACCACCTAACCTTTGGTGGCTCTCACAAGAGTGTGGGTACTGTCCCCAGAGCCCCAGGATGTGTGTTGAATACAGAACTTCATTCTTCCTGGTGTCTTTTAAAGTGCAGAGTACTTTCAAATCCAGATAAATCTAAATCAACTCTTTTCTTAGAATAGCTTTTGTTGTTGACCAATATATATATATATCAAATACACTAGAAAGAGATGATGAATAGAAACTCTGCATGGTATTTTACTAGGGAAGCAAGTTAGAACTCTTAGTATTTTGAAGAAAGTTTGTCACTCTAATGAGTGAGTCTCTAGAGAAAGCAGAGGATGCATAGAGAGAAGAAATTTGAGGGGTGTCTTATTGAGTTTCTCTTTTCTTTTTGTTGTTTTTTTTAAGAAGAGTGACTTATCCTTCTTAAAGTATATAATTGTTGAGTTGGAGTTACAGCTTAATGGTAACTGACTGTCCAGCATGCCTAAAGTCTCAAATATGGAAGGTAAGTAAAGAAAATGAAGGTATATTCTGGAAATTGTATGTTTTAATTGAACCTTTAAAAACACCTTTGTAATCAACATTTTATAAATTTTCAGATATCTAGCACCTATTGTTGTTGTTTTTTGAAAAATCTCCTGAGTAACTAGAACTAAGTAAACATTACTTGTTTTATGGCAATGCATTGAGAAAAACTGTCTATGCTTTGCTTTTGCTCTTTTTATTTTTGTACTTTCTAATACAACTAGTAAACTATTCTTAGAATTCCAAATCTTGTACAAACCAGCCAGGCTCTCAAACTTTCTCATTAAAATATAGAACCCTAGTCACCAAGCTCAGAAGTAATGTATAGACCATGTAACAATATGGGGAGTGGCCAGTATCAGAAGTACTAAGTCAACACTGTAATATTCTGGATTAGACCCAAAAAATTGCTTTTATAGAAAACGTTTATGATGACCCCACTTTAAGAACTGTTCTTCTGCCATTATTGGTGGTATAGCAAAAGACAGAGGTCTCAAGCCAGACCAATGACTTGGGACAATGAACTCTTGCAAGTAAAGACTAATGGACTAAAGGGTAACTGTGTGATTCAACGGGCCACACTATAGCTTCCATGACAAGATTTCTTCACCCATTTTTTGTTTTTGATGGAAGACATATCTGGTTGGTCAGAGATTGCAGTCTAGTCATGACCTGACAGCTTATCTCAATAGCTGGATGACATGGGGGCTCCCTCCTTCCTGCAGGACTTTCTGCCTCTACCCAGCCTTATCTGGAGGATATATCTAGGATGCATCTAGGACCAGGATGCCTGACTTCTCTCAAGGGTGACTGACCCTTGACACAGTTACCTGCAAATACTCTACCCCTCATGACCCACATGATAATTAGGCAAGTGTTCTAGCCATTTTGATAGGACCCTGCTGCCACATGCAAAACCTTGAGATAGGAGCATGTCACTTAACAGGAACTAGGGTTTGTCCCCAGGCTTCCCAATCCTATATATTCCTTATACTATGGAATAAAGTTGAGCTGATTCACCGAAGTCTATCTCTGGGAAAGTTGTCTCTATTCCTTCTCAGGGTCCACCAAAGCTTTCTGTCACTGCTACTGACTCTTGACCTCTCAACCTGGTGGCAAACAGGCCAAAGGGAAAGAGGACCCCCCTACACACACAGTTTTGTTTTTGTTTGGTTTAGTTTGGGTTTTTATTTTTGATTTGGATATTTTTGTTTTGTTGTTTTTTGTTTTACATACCAACCCCAGTTCCCCTTCCCTCCCCTTCTCCCACTCCCCTTATCACATCCCACCCCCAATCCACTCCTCAGAGGGGGTAAGGCATCCCTTGGGGAGTTAACAAAGTCTGGCAGAAAATTTCAGGCAGGACCAAACCCCTCCCCCCATATCAAGAATGAACAAGGTATCCGACCATAGGGAATGACTCCAAAAGGTCATTTCAAGCATCCAGGATAAATCCTAGTTCCATTGCCAGGGAACCCCCCCTACAGATCAAGCCACATAAATGTCACCCACATTCAGAGGGCCTAGTTTGGTCCCATGTAAGTTTCCCAGCTGTCACTCTAGAGTCCTTGAGGTCCCATTAGCTCCGTTCAGCTGTGTTTGTGGTTTCCTCAGTTTATGGGGAGGTTGTAAGGGCAGAGGGTGAATGTGAAGGGACAAGGAAAACAAGTGGGATTGGAATGCAAGATGTGAAATCCACAAAGATTCAATAAATTTTTTTTAAAAAGCCTACTCTTTCAAATACAGTTTACAGAGATGTACAATGACTACATTGTAAGTGCTCAATAAACGCTTGCCACATGTCAACATCACTGCTTCCCATTAAACTGTCGTGTCTATTCTATACTATTTAGCTGTTCTCACATTGTAAATGTTCTGTTTTTACATAATCCTTGCTTATTCTAATCCATCTTGACTCAGGTAAAAGTGTAGTAATTTCTCTTTCAAAATTGTCTTTTCTATTCTGAATACTTGCGGAACTATGATAATCATTGGCCTTTTAATTATGCATTGTTACAAATGTACATTAATGTACGAGTTTTCATTTCCAATACTGGGGATTAAATGCAGGACCTCATACATGCTAGGCAATCATACTACCACTGAACTATATTATAATCCTCTAGACTATTTGTTTTTAACATTTTCAATATCCATCTATTTGGATGGTTTCTGAGAAACTAAAATAAGAAAGAAAAGGAATCAATATATTTGCCTAATAAGAAAGTAGATACTGAGAGTAAATACCTATTCAATTCCTCTTAAATTATTAAAGCTGCTTAGAAAAAAATTCAATTCTTAATTTCTTAACTCTATTGCCAAATTAAAATGTGCCAATTTTTTCTTGTTTTGTTACATAAAGGAGTAATTTGAATGTGAAGTACTCATCCATTTTGAAATTCTGGTTGTCATTATAAATACTAACATAAATATATGTTGTATTGACATAGTTCTTAAGAGATAAACGTTATATTATTTTGTTTCATTTCCTGTAAGTCAAACTGGGCAAGTTCAAGTAGATACGTATTATTTCCATGGTTGGCAGCTTTAAGATTGCTAGAATTTCTAGGTACCACGGAGTATTTCACAAAACTCTCCCTAATTCTTTAGTAATGTCATGGCACAGACTTTTCTTTCATTTTTTTACCCACCCATATCTTTTCAAAGGAGGCATGTGAGTAAACACCCATGGGATTGAGAAACAGCTTTTCATCAGGTGATGGCTCTCCAGAGTTTAAATGCATGACTTGTAGTAATTTCTAAAAAATTTTTTTGAACATTGTTGCATTTATCAAAATGCCTCCCTGGGAAATAACTTTAGTTTAGAAGAATTAATTCATTTTTACCTCATTTATTAAACATTTGTTAGATTTCATATGTGTATTAGGCGTTGAACTAAGCATTCTAGAGGCTCTAAGCATTTTAAAAATATGTTAGAGACATATTCTATCTTCTGTTAGTTTAACTGGTAGGAAATGTGCGTACATAAAGAATTCCATTTTTGAGGTAGAAGGAATTAAGTGTCGTGGAGGGGATGTGCATGTTGAAAAGGAACAGGACTGACTATCTAACTAGCCACAGGGGAGACTTCATACCAGAGGCTGTGCTTAGGTCGGGTGAGCAAGGATGTGCACAGCCGATTGCAGCTGGGGAAGCTGAGCTCTTCCCTCTATACCTAACCATTCTGCTCATCATGCCAATGAATTCTGAAGGGATATCGATGGGGATTGGGATGGATGGCTGAAACTCTGGAACTCCCTTGATGTAGTTTGATTGAAGCTTAAGGAACAGCAGAAGGAAGGCTCGAAAGCCAGCCAGTGTCACACAAGGGAAGCTATCAACATCAGTGACAGAATAGTGGGATTCTGTCTGTGTATCTGTGTATCAAGGGGAGGATAGTGATTCCCTTACAACACTAGGGTTGCAACAGAGTATGTGCTGAATTGTTCATACCACTGTCTCATTTCCATGCTTTTGTTTTGTTTTGTACAGTTCCACCACTGATTTGGACACTGTGCTAACAATGTGCTCTAGTACAGAGCTCCACCTCCTGCCCCTCACATCATTGCCTTTGAAAAAGTGATCTCCCCAGAGGATTTTCTCCCTTTTATACACGGAGACTTGTGGGAACTTTTTTGGATAGTGTTTCTTTCCTTTGTAAGACTGGGATCTGAGATATCTCTGTAAAAGTAATTGTCTAAAGTGTTACAAGGTGAAAGGATAAACATTTTGGAAATAAAGCTATCATACTATCATTCTATTATCTGTACTTTTCTTTAGTTTTATAGAGCTGTGGATTAATCCAGGATTTCATAGATTCTAAGGAAGTGTCAAACCACTAACTTTGTGCAAAGCCTAGTATGTTTTATTTTATTGTTGTTTAAAATACTGCTTTATAATATGTAGGGGTGAGTGTGTGTGCTTGTTCGTGTATGCGCATGCATGTGTGTATGTATATATGTTCAAGCATGTGAGGGTCAGAGTAAAAACAACCTTGGGTGTCATCTTCACCTTCTACCTGCTTTGAGTCTGGGTTCCTCAAATATCACTGATGCAAATACCAGGATTCCAGGGTGGGTGTTCTATGAGTTTCAAAACGTTCTCCTCTCTCTGTTTCCCTTCTTGTATTTGGAGACCTGGGATAGTAGGTGCGCAGTACATCATTCAACTTTACATAAGATAAAGGGTCTAAATTCAGATCATCATATTTGCATGGCAAGCATCTTAGCTAGTGACATGTCTGTATTACTTTAAAATAAAATATTATCTATTTGTACCTTACGACTCAAAAGTTGTACGACGTAGTGACAGAATTAAGAACTTCCCGGATTGCTTTAGGTTATAATCTAGTTTTGAGTTTGAGAAAGGAGGATGTTGGGAGTGTGGTGAGTAAATATTGACCTCCCACATAAAACCTAGACACTCCTGTAGAAAGAGTATGTGAGTAGTATAAACGTCCTACACTGCAAAGTTATTATCAGACCCAGGGACTTGATGGCTTGATTTATGTTGAGTCAGAACATACAACCAAGGTGAGAAAATGTGTATATTACAGGAAAATGACTCCTTACCCTTTCAAGTTATTGTTCAGGTAGCTCCTGAACACTGCAACTCGGTGTGCAGTGAAGAGGAGAAAGTCAGAGTCTTCTTTACACGCTGTAGCATATAGTGAATTGGAGATTTGAGGGACATGAAGTATTATAAATCATCTAAAAGAGTATTTATTAGACCCACCCACAAAGCGACAAAATTGAAAAGTCATCTGTCCATCCTGCAAAATGAATGCATCTTGTCACACTACAGTTCTTCACTGTTATGCACAGAACTGCATCTTATTCTCTATAAACAGTGTGTGGCGACTGTCTGTGTTGCAGCCTTTAGATTTACCTGCCCACTTATACAGCCTCTCTGTGCTCCTTGCCCTCTTCCTGATGAAGATTTTGTGGTCCATCTTTCCCAAAGGTTTTAGGTCACACTTATGCTCAAAATGTGGGGCAATTCTGCCCTCAGCTGGCCAAAGAAATGATTGCATCTGGGAGTCCCAGCTCAGGGGCTCAGAATCTATTTTGTGATTTAAAGATGTACTTTCTTGAAAACTCTAAAGTTTAGCGATTTCCCAAGGCACACTTATTACTGCAGTTATTATTACAACTTTCGTGGTATTTCTGGAATTATCAACTAAGAGAAGAATACAGACTGAGCTCCTGGAGGAATACTCCTTCCTGGCACTTTCCTGGATTGCTAGTTAAATGGAGTCAAACAAGGTTCAAGTTTTTAATAGGCATACTGCAGATCTGTGATAAGAAATCTCTGAAAAGAATGAGTAAGAGTGATATAACTATTTTTCCTTCGTCTTTCTAATTCATCTGTCTACCATTTTTTTAAAGGAGGAATGAACATTCAAATGCTTTAATAGTTTCCAAACCCCAAAGAAGGATCTAATCAGATGAAATATCTTCTCAGGGAGGGTTGTGAGCACCAGGATGGTGGACAAAGAGGAAAATGATCTCTCTAGTAGCCTAAAGTCCAAAGCACCAAAGAAACCCAGTCAGCTATTTCTATTAAATTGAGCAGCATCTTTTTTTTCTTTTGTTTTTTCTTTCTTTCTTTCCTCCTTCCTTCCTACCCCCACTTCTCCTCTGCACCCTTCCTCTCCTCTTCTGATTTCTGAACAGAAGCAGACTTCCCATGGGCCGTTTCAAGTTGAGGTAGGACTCAGCTCCTCTCCTCTTATAAAGGCTTGGTAAGGCAATCCAGTATGAGGAAGAGATTCCACGAATCCTACCAAAGCATCAAGGATAGGCCACAGTCCCACTGGTAGGAGTCCCAAAAGTAGAAAAAGCTATACAACTATCATCCATATGTAGAGAACCTAGGTCAGTCCCCTCCAGGCTGTCTAGTTGTTGCTCCAGTGTCTGTGAACTCCTATGAGGTCATGTTAGTGGTCTCTGTGGGTTCCCTTGTAATGACTGTGAACCCCCTGTCTTATACAATCTTTCCTCCCTCTCTCCAGCAGGATTCCCAGAACTTGGCCTAGTTCTTGGCTGTGGATCTCTGCGTTTTCTTTCATTAGTTACTGAATGATGGCTCTCTGATGACAATTAGGGTAGTAACTAAACTGATTACAGGAGATGGCTAGCACAGGCTATTTATCCACTATTGCATAGGTCATCCTTGTGGATTCATGGGGATTTCTCTTAAACCAGTTTTCTACTGACCCCAAAGTGCACCCCCATCAAGTCATCTCTCTCCCTCTGTCTGCCCACAGGCCCTCACTATACCCAGGAGATCTCTTCTGTTTCTCCTTTCAAGGGAAAATCCACATATTCCTCTTTGGACCCTCCTTGTTTCCTAGCCTCTCTGGTGCTGTGGATTGTAGAATGGTTACCTTTACTTTACAACTAATATCCACTTATAAGAGAGGACATACCATGTTTGTCTTTCAGAGTCTGGGTTATCTCACTTGGGATAATTTTGTCTAGTTCCACCAATTTGTGTCCAGATTTCCTGATATTATTTTTAACAGCTGAGTAATACTCCATTGGGTAAATGTACTGCATTTTCTATATCCATTCTTCAGTTAAAGAACATATAGATTGTCTTCAGATTTTGGCTATTATAAAGTTGCTATGAACGTAGTTGAACAAGAATTCTTGTGGAATGTTTGAGCCTCCTTTGGGCATGTACCCAAGATTGGTATAGCTGGGTCTTGAGGTAGATTGATTCTCAATTTTCTAAGAAACGACCATATTGGTTTGCAAAGTGGCTGTCCAAGTTTGCACTCCTACCAGTTGTGGAGGAGTGTTCTCCTTGCTAATGACAGAGATCTTAACTAATTTGCCTTAATATTCTTGTAAGCACATAGACAATTACATATATGTATATATATACAGAAAAAGATGATTTATAAAACAAATACTTCTTTACAGTTTATTTATTCTGTTAAAATTCATTTTACATTCCAACCACAGTTCTCCCTCCCAACCCTCCTGCCGCTGCCCTCTCACCCACCCCTAGTCCACTCCTCCTCATGGGTAAAAGCTCCCATGAGGTATCAACAAAGTCTGGCACAATAGGGTGGGGCAGGGCCAAGCCCCTCTCCTATGCATTAAGGCCAAGCTTGGCATCCCTACTTGTTCCTTATGGCCTGTACAAATCAACAGTTTTATCTAAATTTTTTTGCTAAAGAAAAGTATACCAGATTGCCTGTGAAGGCAAGGTTTAAAAATGACTGTGTGATTGTGAAACTGCTTAAGTGAACAGATTAGAATCAAACATGATTAGCATATTGATCATTGAAGTAAGTAAGTAATTTGAAAATAATAATTGATTTTTTATTTATTGCTTTCAAACTTGTATTCTGACACTTCCTAACAGTAGATAAGTAAGCTTAGAGTTTTTTGTCATGAACACTACACACAGTCCATATCAGGACACATACTCTACAAGACTGGACATCAAATTAAACTTCTTTGTGTGACTGATCCCAGCAGAGTTGTCTTCTTCACTTCAACCTCTTTGAATACTATCATGATGTGGAACATCATTCAGTGCTAGTCACTATTTGACACAAGGAAAACAGAGGTGACAATACCAGGTCAAGTGCATGTTCTCCTGTTTGTCTTTAGGATACAAATACTCTTTTGCTATCCTGTTTTCTATCATAAACACCATTTGAAGGACATGAATAATTATCTTAAGAATTGAAGATTGTAAACTGCTGAACATTTTCCTCAATTGTTACATTCTTCTAACTAATAAGGTGTCAGAAAATAATGGAATGAGTGTTTTTTAATGACTTCAGTTCAGGAAAAAGGTAATTATAAAGCAATTGCATCATCAATGTCACCCACAGATATTATAGGGCATCTGGATTCTGCTAAACACAACTTTTATTTTTCATCTTTTCCTTCTGTGTAACACACCAACTGCATATCCTGGGAAGGTGGAGAAACAAAGCAAGAAACTTCATGAAGGTTGAGAATTTGAGTATGTCAGACCTTTCAGCAAATGTTGTCCAAGCACCTATTGTTTTTCTGCAAAAGAAAGCAAAATTTATAGAGAAAAATTTCATAACAGTTTCCAGTGTATTAACAGTAGCTTCTAGATAAGAAAAGCTATTCAGTGACCCATCTGTGTTCTTTTTTCTGTTAGCATATTTAATTTCTGAAAGTTAAGTTGCATATTGGTATGTCTGTCTATTCATTAATTCATTCAAGTCTGGACCTCATGGTGTTTCCTACAGGAGGAAGACTATATAAGTCTTCCTAAAAAGAAAAATCAAAAGGTGGTATCCAATCTGAGTTTCAAACCAGCAGACAAATAATTATTATTCTTATGAGAATAAAGCCTTAGCAGGATACTCCAGTTAGCAGGAACAAATGGACAGACTCAGAGCATGAGATTGCATGGGGAATTGCATGGGACATTGGTTATGATGAGCACATTGAAAGATGAGTTTCAGAATGAAAAAGGTAATAAATCATCAAAGCTCTCAGATTCTTTGCAAAGAAATATTTTTTTCTCAGAAGCGATAAAGAACATTTGAAAAATTTCAGGTTGAATTTTCATGGGAGAATATATGCATTCTGTGATCAACTCTTCACTTTAGAGATATCATTACAGTAGCAGCTTAGTAGACAGAAATTTAGAGGACTAGATAGAAGATGATAGCAATTCAAAAACAGTGATAGTAATTATTGGATCTAAATCTCAACCTCATGGGACTGATGGTGACCCAAGAAAATGTGAGCATTTGGCATC